CTAACTCTTTTCTCTAGCAATTTTATTATTGATTTTCATATTCTTATTATTGCTAGTTTGCTATTTGAGTTAGATTTGATTTTATCTCATTGTTACACACACCCACTTGAGCTTATTGTATTTGCATTCATAATATATTTTGGGTTGGTGAGAGTTGTAACAATTGAGTGTGAGCTTTCATTGTGTTTTCATCCATAGTAGAGAACAAACATTTATTGTATCGAGCCTTATTGTGAGATTCACTTTGTAATATACTTGTACACCGAGAGAAGTGTGTGGCGAGAGTCGGGGATCAGGAGTGGCGTCGGTTGACGAACCTAGGGAGAGGTTATAACCGAGCACTTGAGGGAGATACGTCTAGTTCAACACTTGAGAGGGTGTAGAGTGGGATTGCAAGAGTGGTGATTGTAAAGTTTTTTCGGGTGAGAGTAGAAAACCCGGTTGTGATAGTGGATTTCTCCCCAGGAGTGGGGAGCGGAGACGTAGGACGGAAGGTCCGAACTCCGTGATCATATCGTGTGTTTGAGTTTGCTTTGGCGCACTTAATCTTATGTTTATATTTCTTGTCGTCATTGTCCATAGCTCATTATTTTTATCATCCACTATCTAGTACTTTTTGTTTACCCTTGTGTTAGTTTATATATCCTTACATATATCATATTGTATATCTCTTTGGTAGGATATATCGACTTGTGCTAGTTTATATATCCTTGCATATATTTATCATATATGATATATATCTTTATTCATATTGTATATTCTTTCTCATAAGTAATTGGATATCATATTGCAAGAATAATTTGTTAATTAATTTTAATTAGCATTTAATCGGATTAGATTAGCATAAGACCCTAATCACCCCCCTCTAGGGTCTAACAAATTATACAACAGAGCAAAAGTAATATTATTTAATGCAACAGAAACTCTTATTGGATGCACACCAGAAGAATTCATTATAAAAAAAGAGGTAACTCTTATCCTTATTTAAAAAATATTAGAAACACAAAAATTATATATATATGAAATTAATATTTAATCTCATTGAAACACAAAAATAACCAAAGTTTGTATTTCTAAATGTTTCTGTTGAATATTAAAAATACATTTAGCTTCTTTGTGAAGTAAGATGAGAAAACAAAAGATGAACGAGTTCAAGAAAAAATAACAATACAAGAAATCCAGCTCCAACCTGATATCACAATCAACGTAGACGATGAAGACACAACTCTAGAATTGTTCAGAAAAAAGATAAAACTAGAGAAGGATTGATCTTAACTTAATAAAAAATAAAATAGAAATAATAAAAGATTTTTTTTGGAATTTTATAGAATAGCTTAATTTTTTAGTAAAATCAATAATCTTTAGAAGGGATTCTCATGAACTCTTTTAAATATTTCTATATGGGTATGTAGATGCTATCATATAAAAGTATACTATAATTAGCATTAATCTTTAATTTATAATTTTTTAAGCCTATCAATGATTAGTAACAAACTTTATATTCTCTTTATTTTTATTCTAGCTCGTTTTTAATTAATCATCTTAGCCTATTGGCTTTAATTATTTATCTTTCTTTTATAACACAATTTTTAAGCATTTTTTACTTTTATAACATTATATTTTCTCAAACCAAGCTTTGTTTCATGTCGGTCAAAATAATGTAAAAATTCAAATTGGTTTTAGATTACATTTGTTTTCTGTCAATTCAATTATCAATATGAATATTTAAATTTAGTGTAGCCCATTTAAACAAATATCAATAAAAATAAATAATCACAATGCTAAAGTTTAAAGATATAAGTGAGCAAAAACAATCAAATGAAACTAAAAAACAAATTTTAATAAAGAAATAAGTCAAAAATATTTAATCATGACATTTAACCATGTGCATTGCACGTGCATAAAACCTAGTAAAAGATAAATACTCAAGTTAATAGTTCAGAGTCACAAGGGAACTCTTAAGTACTGAGATCAATTTATCTGCCCAATAATTATAAATTCTGAATCGCAAGAAGTGATTTAGTGAGAGCACAAATAATTTGTTGGTTTGCAAATTTCACACTAAAAAGATTATGAGCAATCTTGAGTACACTCCAGTAGATACAAAACATATAAGAAAAAAAATATAAAGCGCAATAGTGACAAATAAAAGTAACTATCAATTTAAAAAGGGTTTTTATATCAAAACCACCTTAGCTTTTAGTGCAATTGATACTTATCACCTGCATTTAGTTTTTGATAGAAACCACCTTAGATTGCCTACATCCTTCACATGTCACACCTAATCGTATTTTTAGCTCAAAAAACACGTGAAATGCCGATTTTATCCTCACCTGTAGCACGTGCAATGCACATGTGCCTTAATTTATTACTAAAATATAGGTTTTTTTTCAACATTAGTCCCCCAAAGCTTTCGTATTTTGGTACTAGTCTCTCATCTCTCTCTCTCTCTCTCTCTCTCTCTCTCTCTCTCTCTCTCTCTCTCTCTCGCACATGTGCCTTAATTTATTTCTAAAATATAGTTTTTTTTTCAACATTAGTCCCCCAAAGCTTTCGTATTTTGGTACTAGTCTCTCATCTCTCTCTCTCTCTCTCTCTCTCTCTCTCTCTCTCTCTCTCTCTCTCTCTCCCACCCTCTAATTCAAGAAAAAACCCTAATCTCAAATCTCCAAACCCTAGCCCAATCCCCAAACCCTAATATTCTCAATCGCTAAACCATAATCTCACATCCCCTTAATACTCCCTCTCTTTCTCCTTCAATTTAAGGAAAAACCTCCCTCAATCCTCTCTTAAACCCTAACCTCACATCCCCTCAATCCCCTGTCTCCAACCCTCCAATTCAAGAAAAAACCCCTTAAAACCCTAATGAATAATCAAAAGATCGATTCTCTCTCGTGAGGACAATGCTCTTTCGGTGATGATGTCATCGATTTGGGGGAGAAATTTTAAAATATGATGATTTAGGGGAGTAACATGGAAGTATGAAAGATTTCAGGGACTAATATCAAAAAATCGTTGTTTTAATAATTTATTAAGGCACACGTGCTCTGCACGTGCTACAGTTGGGAGTAAATTTGGCATTTCATATGTTTTTTGAGCTGAAAATATGATTAGGTGTGACCTGTGAAGGATGTAGGCAATTTAAGATGGTTTCTGTCAAAATAAATAAATAAATACAAATAGTAAGTATTAATTTCACTAAAAGCTAAAATGGTTTTGATGTAAAAACCCATTTAAAAATACCCTCAAGCTATAGTTCAATGGTTTCCATGTTTGTGAGAACTGCATACTGAATAAGGTTAATGTAACACAAAACGTTAAGTAGAGTACTTTGGATAAAAATGAAAAATTTACAGAATGCGCAGATAAATGTAGAGAATCCTCACTTGATGCTGTAGGTCAAAGTAAACTCTTTCTTCTTTCCCCATGAAATCAAACGTGTTAAGAATTGAACGTTTCCGAATTAAACGTCTCGGATCCTGATATGACCCAAAGTTTCCATAATATTAAAACCACATTGATTTGACTTCCAACTTTTTACGCCTTATTTGATTGGGAAATATTGACTATGAAAAGTGGCTATATGAAAATAAGATGATAAGAATGGAGAAATAAAAAATAACTTCTCTATCCTTCTTCTTCACTTTCTATCAACTTTTTCAAAATTTAAAAGAAAGTAATGGGGGGAAATGATTAAAATGCTGTTGTGATGTCCTACACTTTTTGATTGCTTTCCCAAAATTTCTAATTGACAAATAGTCCCTTAAATATTCAATAAGTCCATACCAGCGGCTCAAGTATTAAAAATTGCATATTAGTCCTTTAAATTCTATACTGTCTTGTAAAATCGTCATCCTGTTAGTTTTTCAGTTGAAAGACGTATCCATGATTGTATTAACTCTTAATCCAATACTCCTAATTACCACGAACTATCCCTGTTCATAATAAAATATGTAAACGTGCTCTTTGATGTTCCAAATAATGAAGGACATGATATATAGGTTAGAGGAGAAATTTGAAAGGTTTATTTGAATTGTAAAGCATTATGTCCGTTGGAAAATTCAATATTATGTTAGGATTATTTTTCTGACCGTTAGTTAGAGAAATAATTTAAGTGAATTTGGTCATTTTTGAAGTGGATTTTGGATTTAAACCTATTAAAAATGGTCTTATGAAGTTAACAAAGCGGTAAAGTGGTAATTTATCCTCAAACACTAAGATTTGATGAAAAAATCCTCTCAAATCCAACCAGAGTTAATCAAATGATTTTGCAAGATCCCAGGAAATATGAGGGGCTAATTTGTAATATTCAAGATTTAGGGGACTGATATGAAGTTATTGAAATTTTGGCACACCGATATCCAAAAAACCCTTAAATTAAACATTCTATTACGTTTATAAAGTATGTTTGAGAACCTTGGATTATAATCAAAGTGGATTACTATCTATATTGCTTTATAAATTTGATGGATTTATAATCTATTTTCAACAGTGAGCTATTAAATGGGGTTTGAGATTTTGTGAAGTCAAACCTCATGGATTATAATCTACCAAAAAGTAACTTAGGGAATCCCAAACATTTTTTTTTGGTGGATTATAATTCAAAACATTCTACTTGTCAAACATGTAAAAATAAATTATTAATCCACTTTGACCATTTGCCAAACATGCTCTTAAAAATAAGTATAATTAACCAAAAAAAAGTGTATAATTGCCACTCTAATAAGATCACATCATTAGTTGTAACACTAATCATTTTTCACTACTTTTCTTTTATCGAAAGAATTCATAAAACCAGTTAAGCTACTTTTAATAAGCTGACCATGTATAATTTAAAAAAATTAAATTATCTAAACTTGGGCCTTCAACTTCTATACTTCAGAGCAACGTATAGTTTCCAAGTGCTTCTCACTAAATTTAGGCAAAAAAAAAAAGAACACGTGTCGACACGTGACAGTTGCTATATATAAGCTGCGACGAGAGCCCAAGAGAGCAAGCGCAAAGAAGTAGGATCGCACTTTTTTGTAGTCATCTCATATACAGTTATTACAAGGTACATAGCTTGCAATTTCTCCTAAAGTTTGTAACTTTATTAAAGTGGTATTAAAAAAATATTATCTTCTTTCAATCTCAAGCTAGAAGAGATCATGTTGGGAGTCGTGAGGAGAAAGATCGGATGCGGAATCCTAAGATTTCCGGTATTTTATTTTTATTTTTCATAAGATTTTGTTCTATATGGTTTTTTGAAATTTGATTGAAAATTGTGTTTTTTGTTCTTTTTGAAGATTTTTGGGCAGAAATTGGAGGGTTTTCAGCCGATGGGATCAATTTTACCAAGGAATTACTCAAGTGCAGCGAAGGAGGTAGTACATTATATTATTCGGAAAAAAGTTTATAGGCTTTTAATATTTCAGTGATTAAATGGGTATTGTGTCTGAAAAAAAGGTTTTTCATTCAAGTTTTTTTTTTTTTTTTTTTGCACTATAGTATTTGTATTTAATCTTGTGATATGTTTTTGCCAAAAAAAAGGGGAAAAAAATGATTTGTCGTATGTGAAGTTATATGTCAAGATGTGGTAATTTATTAGGAATTTTTTGATATCAGTCCTTTAAATCTTTAAATTTTAAAATTTGTCCCTCAAATCATTGAACTTGCTAGTCGGTCTCGCAATTCGTATATCTTGCTACTACTTCTTGAATGGGGAGACTAGCCGTACTGGGGAACCTAATAACGATTTCAGGGACTAAGTTTGGAACAACTTATAAGTGTAGAACTTAATAGCATTGTACTGATTTGAGGGACTAGTGTCAAAATACCAGAGATTTAAGGGATTAATATTGAGAAAAACAATATTCATTGTACATTGCTACCATCATTATGATTGAGAATTAAAGAATTTGCTTTTCCCTCGTGATAAATAAAAAGAATGAGATGATTTATACAGGATATCAGTTCATACATTAATGTGAACTAATTCATTGTTCTTCTCTGCATTTATGTTCATACTTGCAAAAAGTTGGTAATTGATGCAAATGTTTTCAGTGAAATTTGCTTTCTTTTATGTTGAGAGTCAAATTATGTTATTTTAATATCATGAGAATACTGTTATTAGAATCTTGCCAGCAACTTCTAGATACAAAATTTCCACAACAATTTCAAACACCATAATCAATCAGAAGTAGGACATAATCTAGATCTTTTAGTGGAAAAGAATATATAGCGTATTGGAACTAGCTTTTTTCTTAGAGATTAACAATGATGAAATTTTGATTAATATTGTCAAAACAAAGTTTGCATGTTCAAGTTGAACCTAATTCACTCCATGTCCATACCGTGCAGATGACAGTACGTGATGCCCTGAACTCTGCACTCGACGAGGAGTTGGCTGCTGATCCTAAAGTTGTTGTCATGGGTGAAGAGGTGATTATATGGAAAGAAGTTTTTTTTTTTTTTTTGAAACTTTATATAATGTTCTATGTAACTAATGATCTTCATTATGTTTCAGGTAGCAGAGTATCAAGGTGCATATAAGGTTTGCGAATCATAATAATCTGAAGGGTGAAGTTGCGCATAGACCACCTGTAGTACCGCTGTTTTCTGAATTTACTAGCCCTGTAGTTTGGCTATATCAGATGAACCCCTGGGTTAAAATTTTCTGACTCTTTTACCCTTGGTGAAATTTTGGAAGATATTGCCCCTAGGTGAATTTAGTGAGTCTAAATGAGGGTAAAAGAGTCAAAAACAACTTTACCAAGAAGCTGAAATAATGAAACCACATGGATAGTAAGTTCAAAACGGCGATATTGCAGGGTCTATGTGCAATTAACCCTAATCTAAAACTCAAATTATAATTTACTAAAAAAATGTGAATTCTCTCCTTTCATGTAACATAAGCTCTTACATCTCTTTTGTAGGTCACTAGGGGTCTTCTTGATAAGTATGGGCCTGAGAGAATTCTCGATACTCCGATCACAGAGGTTTGCTCATAAATCTGTTTAAATATTTATCTTGTTCTTTATAATTTACACTAAATTTTGGGTTTTATAACTTACGTGTTCATGGATCAACGTGCAGGCCGGATTGGCTGGCATTGGAGTTGGAGCAGCATATTATGGTCTGAGACCGGTTGTGGAATTTATGACAATTAATTTTGCTCTGCAGGTTTGTTTTCTATTTGCAATTTCTGACTTTTTGTAAAGAAAATGAGCATGGGGTGGTGAATACATACAATTTCTGGATTTTCCGGGCTCCATGCAGTTTAGGCTTGGGAATTTGCTCCATTCAGGATCAGCACTTTTTAGTGAAATAATTTTCTTGTACTTTTCAAATATGAAATCGTAGATGTCTACTTTTTTTCCTTTATAACTTAAATTCAGGAATGTATTGACTTTTGTTAGTTGCTTCTAAATTGATACCCTTAAATTCAACTTTTAACTATAAGCAACTTAGAAATCTTATACCACTGAAACAGTTATGTCATTCTACTAAATTTGACGAAATATAAATCTTCAGAAGAATTAGATAATTTTTCCCATATGATAATATTGTTATTTGAAAATAGTAATAGAAGTATCAGCTATTCACATAATAAATAAGAAAATTCCGGCTCTTATTGTAGCCAATTTATTGAGAAGGATTCTGTGACAGCATATAACCATTGATGTGGAAAGAAAATTGACTAACATCAGAAACAAGACTATCCAAGTTTTGACATATTTCATACATATTAGAAACTAAAAGATCGTGTTATTTAAAAAAAAAGAACTAAAAGGTTGTCCAAATAAAATTTGTACAATTGCGCAAACTGTTGCAGAGAAGATTTACGATTGACATGTGCTAGTGCCATTATTATCTACTCATATCTTTTGCATTCAACACCAATGACATGATTCTTTCATAAGTTGAGCGTTCAACATTTGTTCTTACCTTTTTTATTTGCTATAAACATAATGCAGGCAATTGATCACATATTAAATTCTGCTGCAAAAGCACATTACATGTCAGCAGGTCAAATATCTGCGCCTATTGTTTTCAGAGGTCCGAATGGTTCTGCTGCTGGAGTCGGTGCCCAACACTCACATGTATGAATCCCTGAACCATCACTCTCTAGACTTTGATCCTCATGCTTTTAATTATGTATATATGAAGTATATAGATTTCAACAGTGAACACTACATTCAAAAAAATGATCCTGTTGCTGTCTCTGGGATTAAATAATCAAGATTAACAATTAATTCAAAGGGTAAATTCCATAAAACCCCACTGAATTTGGGTGGTTCTGAACGAAATCCCCTGAACTATGTAAAGCACAGAAAACCCCTTTTTATTTTGTAAATCACAGAACCCTTGAACTTTGAAAACTATACCAAACCCCTTGAACTATTGATAATTCTTATGAACGATGTTAACGAGCAGAGTAAAAAAAGTTAAACTACATTTTTTTTTACTTCTTTACCTACCCTTGCTCTAAAGAGGCATTGTAAATATTATATTTGGAAGATGGGGGTAAATTGTTCATCAAAAAAGACATATTTAAAACATGGAGGCAAGTCTCACCGCTTGCATAATTTTCAGTGTTTTGCGGCTTGGTATGGAAATATTCCTGGTTTGAAAGTCCTTGCTCCATATTCATCCGAAGATGCTCGTGGCCTGCTAAAAGCAGCTATTAGAGACCCTGATCCCGTTGTTTTCCTCGAGAATGAAATTCTGTGAGTAAATCCTGACAGTATTTATTTTGAACAATGAAACTAAGTAACCATTAGCTTTTCTGAAGAAAATACTTTTAATTTTTCAGATATGGACAGTCTTTTCCAGTTTCAGAAGAGGTTCTTGATTCCAGTTTCTGCCTTCCAATAGGGAAGGCAAAGGTATTGATTCCTTGAAGACCAAAGCATGTATGTTTTTTTGTGTGTTTTTTTAATGTCTTTATATTTTTTGCTGGCAGATTGAGCGAAAAGGAGAAGACGTTACGATTGTTGCTTACTCGAAAATGGTTGACTTTTCTCTCCAGGTTTGTGAAATTGAGTCATAATATGTACATAATTTTTTCTTAGTCTAGGCAGTAAAAGCCAAGATTTTTCTACAAATTATTACGTTGTTACTCATTTTCATCAAGTCTGCTACGTTGTTAGCCAATGCTTATATCCGAGTAGAAATCTGTGGCTCACGTTAATTAACTGTTCTCTGAATTTGATTCAACACTAAATTTTGTTTCAGGCTGCAGAATTACTTTCCAAAGAAGGGATTAGTGCTGAGGTATATAGTTTCTACTGGAACCAAATCTCAATTTACCAAATTTGAGTAAACAATATCAATTCAGTCAGTAAAGCAAAATGATTTATGTAACAGGTCATTAATCTTCGTTCAATAAGGCCTCTAGACCGAGTTACTATCATTGATTCTGTTCGAAAAACCAGCAGACTCGTAACGGTTGAAGAAGCTTTTCCTCAGCATGGTGTAGGCGCTGAAATCTGGTAAATATTGGTCAAGAAGCCATTTTCTAGAAAGTAATTTAACATTTTAATTTTAATCCCTCCTGCTTACTGTCTTTTTAATCCTCATGCCACCAGTGTGCACGTGCAAAACCAGAAACAATGACGACAATAAAGCCTCTATCCCAAACCTTTTGGCGTCAGCTACATGAATCCTATTTTAACTCTCCTCCTCTACTAAGTTAGTCATACCATATACATTGTCATAGGCATACATGTGAGAATATCCACATTCATTTACTTTAAGTGTGGTTCTATTTTAGCAAAGACATGACATGAGATTTTGTGAAACTCATACAAGTCCACACACATACATATATGGGTAAATTTAACATTATCCCCCTAAAGTTTGGTCATTATGAGGTAACCCCTTAAAGCCTTCAAAAAAGAAAATCGTTTTCAACTTTTTCAACATACCCTCTAATTGTGTATTCCCCATCTTTTTTAATAATAAAAAAAACCCATGAAAATTTTGATAAAATTTCAGAATAAACCCCACGATGCTGATAGGAGGGAATGTTGGAAAAATTGCAATTGTTTGGCGAGTTTCGTGATAAGCCCCAAAGGTTAAGGGGTTAAGCGAAATTTATAAAGTTTAGGGGGTTATCTTTCAGCGGAACTGTAGGGGGTTATGTGAAATTTACCCATCATAAATTGTTGGATCAACCAATAGGGCTCTTATGAGCCAAATAATTGCTTATTCAAACCAATTTTTCTAATTCGAAACCAATTTGTTTTCTCGTATCTGATTTCAAACTTAATTTCTTGAACAGCGCTTCTGTCGTCGAGGAAAGCTTCGACTATCTTGATGCTCCTGTTGAGAGGATCTCCGCTGCTGACGTTCCAATGCCTTACGCCGCAAATCTAGAGCGCATGGCAGTTCCTCAGGTCATCATTCTGCCATTATCACTTCAAACCAATAAAAATTCCGCGTTAAACAACATTTCCAACCTTCAAATTCTTTTGTTGCAGGTTGAGGACATTGTTCGAGCTGCAAAAAGAGCATGCTACCGATCAGTTCCCGAGGCCCCAAGCTCTTAATTCAGACAGAGTTTCCTGCTACTTTTCATTTTGTTCTGTTCTATCATATTCATAACCCTCTTCATTGGGCTTCATGAAATTTTCTAATAATGAAATAACATATGATTTGCTGTAATGATTCTTATTTCAAACTTCATTTGGACAGTTATGTAAAATTGCTGAATTAGTTAGGATCTTTGACATCTTAGCCCTTAAAACTGGCTTAAATTGTCTTGAGTAAAATGGTTGGCATGCACAGGAAAATAGTTGCACAAAATTTGCACATTAATAATGCCGGAGAACACCAACAAACTGCACTTTGGTAGCTTGTGAAGCTGAATTGTTTTTAAAAATACAACTGATGTGATGACAATAACTTGTATTTATTATGAAATTATAGCTTTTGTGGACCTTGAGCCGTAGTCTACGAGCTCCATTTAATATGGTCAGAGGATGAGAAGAAATGCAATGAAAGCGTTTCATCATTTTTTAGTTTTTTTAAGAAATGAAAACCAATAATTAAAAAAAATAAAAAAGAAAAAGGAGGAAGAAGAAGAAGAAGAAGAAAATGTTCTCCAGATATGGATAAATTTTTTATTGAGAACATTTCTATGCTTTCTATATGATTATATAAATATACTGTACAGTTACCGAAAGGTGATTTTCGAATACTCATCATACATGACATATTAAAAATTTTGATATACATGTCACTAGTGTCTATTGCACACTACTGTTGCTATAACTGTGCTAATTAACAAATGAATGTATTTGTTGATGTCTGATATCACACAGTCGAGGGGGTTGAGGAGTTGTTGAGTCGTTGAGAGGTTGAACCGTCGAGGGGGGCTGCTTCCTACTTCGACTTTATGTCTGGTTCTTAGAGCTCGGGGCGGACGGACCACCTACACATACAAGAATCGTGGGAGTACGGTACTTGTTTCCCCTGTGGTACCTCCGACGGTCAAGTCGGCTAGCAGACTTGAGTGAGGTGAAGGAAGAACGATGTATTCTCCCGAAAAATATGTTATTTAGAGAGTTTATGTTTATTGTAAGAAAATCCGAACCTGTTTTTATGACTAATGATGTCTGTATTTATAGAGGATACTAAGTGCAGAATAGACACTTCGTGAGTGTGCGGTCTAAGATGGTGGTGAGGGGTGAGCTGGAGGCTGAGTCACCCTCTGCTCTATACGTGTCGATTTGTGAGTGATGGAAGGTCACTTCAGTGATATGGGGAACCAGCAGCCGCGAGGCTTGTCAATGAGCGGCGAGGAGTCACTTCAGTGGCGTGGGGAACCCACAGCCATCGAGGCTTGTCGATGAGTGGCGAGAAGTAACTTCAGTGACGTGGGGAACCCGCAGCCGACAAGGTTTTAGACGACTGCTGACGGAGACATAATAATGATCATAAAAGGTTAAATAATGCTGAAAAGAAATGTTTTGAGCCGCCCTTGGGAGGAGTGTCGGCTAATTGCTAAGCAGCAATCTTTTGTTATGAAGAGGTCCGACTGAGTCCGCTTTTTGAGTCGTCTTTGAAGAATGAGAAGGAGTGACGGCTCGCGGGATAGTATATTCGTGAAGAATAGGGGATACCCCGTAACAATTAGCCCCTTTCACTTGGATGCGGCTGTGATCGGATCTGAGGGAAAAATAAATGATCAGAGACCAAGTAGAATCGATTTTGACAACGAGATGACGTCCTTTCTTCTTCCCTTTTTCTTTTTATCAGTCGTTGTAATCGGTACTTTTGACTTTGTAAACAAGAAAAGCTAATGAAGAAATAAGTTCATTTTCAGTGTTTTATACTCTTGAAATTTTTTGGTTCCTGCTTATTTGAAAGGTGATACATGAACCCTTGAAATTGGTTGCCCAGGCTCGAGAGAGTTGACTAGGTCTTTTCCTTCCCCTAGGGCCGAGAGGCGACTGTGGGAGTCGACCAAAGGGTTTTGCCTTGGGTTTATTTCTGATAAGGTACCAAAGATTTTTTATCGACTGAGGAGTCGAGTGCCTATGTGACTAGGTCTTCCATTTTCCCCTAGGGCCGAGAGGCGACTATGGGAGTCGACCAAATGGTTGTGCTTGGGTTTATTCCTGATAAGGTACCGAGGGTTTTTTATCGACTGAGAAGTCGAGTGCCTAGGTGACTAGGTCTTCCATTTTCCCCTAGGGCCGAGAGGCGACTGTGGGAGTCGACCAAAGGGTTATGCCTTGGGTTTATTCCTGATAATGTACCAAGCGCTTTTTATCAACTGAGGAGTCGAGTGCCTAGGTGACTAGGTCTTCCATTTTCCCCTAGGGCCGAGAGGCGACTATGGGAGTCGACCAAAGGGTTATGCCTTGGGTTTATTCTTGATAAGGTACCAAGGGCTTTTTATCGACTGAGGAGTCGAGTGCCTAGGTGACTAGGTCTTCTATTTTTCCTAGGGTCGAGAGGCGACTGTGGGAGTCGACCAAAGGGTTATGCCTTGGGTTTATTATTGATAAAGTACCAAGAGCTTTTTATCGACTGAGGAGTCGAGTGCCTAAGTGACTAGGTCTTCCATTTTCCCCTAGGACCGAGAGGCGACTGTGGAAGTCGACCAAAGGGTTGTGCCTTAGGTTTATTCCTGATGAGGTACCAAGGGATTTTATCGACCAAGGAGTCGAGTGCCTAGGTGACTAGGTCTTTCATTTTCCCTAGGGCCGAGAGGTGACTGTAGGAGTCGACCAAAGGGTTGTACCTTGGGTTTATTCCTGATAAGGTACCAAGGGCTTTTTATCGACTGAGGAGTCGAGTGCCTAGGTGACTAGGTCTTCTATTTTTTCCTAGGGCCGAGAAGTGACTGTGGGAGTCGACCAAAAGGTTGTGCCTTGGGTTTATTCCTGATAATGTACCAAGGGCTTTTTATCGAGTAGGTTACTAGGTCTTCCATTTTCCCCTAGGACCGAGAGGTGACTGTGGGAGTCGACCAAAGGGTTGTACATTGGGTTTGTTCCTGATAAGGTACCAATGGATTTTTATCGACTGAGGAGTCGAGTGCCTAGGTGACTAGGTCTTCCATTTTCCTTAGGGTCGAGAGGCGACTGTGGGAGTCGACCAAAGGGTTGTGCCTTGGGTTTATTCTTGATAATGTACCAAGGGCTTTTTATCGACTGAGGAGTCGAGTGCCTAGGTGACTAGGTCTTCCATTTTTCCCTAGGGCCGAGAGGCGATTGTGGGAGTCGACCAAAGGGTTGTGCCTTGGTTTTATTCCTGATAAGGTACCAAGGGCTTTTTATCGACTGAAGAGTCGAGTGCCTAGGTGACTAGGTCTTCCATTTTCCCCAGGGCCGAGAGGTGACTGTGGGAGTCGACCAAAGGGTTGTGCATTGGGTTTATTTCTGATAAGGTACCAATGGCTTTTTGTTGTATTTACCAGTTACTATAGTGATGCAAAAGTTAGGCTAAAGCCTTCTCATTAGATATGTTATCTAGGATAAATATTCTTCGGAGGAAATCTTAAAGTTTTAAAAGACTAGGCTGGAATTTAAAGAAAATACCGTCGTAGGTGTTCGATGTTCCAGGGGTGACTGAGGATTCGGTCATCTGGAGCTTTCAACAAGTAGGTGCCGGCTCTGAGCTCCTCCATAACCGTGTAGGGGCCTTCCTAATTAGGGGCCAGCTTGCCTCGGCGAGTATCTTTGTCGAAGGCTGCTTTTCGAAGGACAAGATCTCCCACCGCGAATCTTCTTGGCTAATCCCTCCTGTCGGGCTGATTAGGGCGGGGGTTGACTCTCAGAGGATCCTTGTGCTATTCTAGCTTTTGGGGATTCTGGGTTAGTGTCATCGGTGGAGGGTTTGAAGGAAAGTCCACAGCTGTCGAGGTCGGGTTTGCGGCGCCAGGAGTTTCCATCTTTCTTGCTGAAGCCTTATAAGCCCGGGCATCCTCCATATCCATATATCCATGGGCTTTAGACATTAGCTGCTCATAGTCGGCGACTGGTTTTTTGGCAAGAGAGTCAGCCAATTCATTGTCCTGGAGACCCGCTACAAGTGCTGACATGGCGACCGTGCTTCCGGGGTCATTGACTTCCAGCCTCTTTGCTTGAAATCTCTTGAAGTAGGCTCGGAGGTTTCGCCTGGTCTTTGCCTCATTTGGATCAGCACGTGAAGAGGGAGCTTCTGCTTTGTGTCTGCCAGAAAATGGTGAATGAACTTACGACTGAGTTGTCGAAAATTATCAATGGATTTCTTCTCCAGAGCATTCAACCAGAGCTTAGCACTTCCCTTGAGGGTGATGGGGAAACATCGACATAGGACTACTTCCGAAACTTGGAGCATACTCATTATGTCAAAGTAATTTTGAACATGCTCTGAGGGATCTCCCTCGCCTGAGTATGTCTCTAAGTGAGGCATCTTGAATTTCTCAAGCGGGTATTCCATTATTTTGTCAGATAATAGGGTATTTCCTCCAATAGAATCAACGATCAGTTTGTATCCTCGATCGTAGCCGAAGACTCCTACAGTGGTTGACGAGGTTGGGGAGTCGTGACGGCGTAGTCTCCTGAAACCCGTTCCTTTGGCACGTCCCTCTAAATGACTAGGACGGGGACTCTTATTAACATTGCTTGGTTGCTTGGGGCGGTTCTCCACATGTTTATGGTGGTCGCGAGGAGCTCTCGACACGATGCTCCGCGATGTCTCGAGGGGACGAGTTCTTGATCTCTGATCTCCAGATGGAGGGTGTTGTTCAACGGCATGCGGCTGTCGCGGGATTCCCCATAGAAGCTCATTAGTCGGAGCGGCAAACTGCTCTTTCATAGATAGAGAGAGCATGTCTACCGTCTGTTCCAGTTGACCCAGAGTCACATAATCTGGAGGGGGTAGCCTTGGAGGAGATTGGTCCACTCCTCGCTCAGAACCTGTCATTTTTTTCTCAAAAAGAGGAAAGTAGCCCTACGGTTGTGCCAAACTGTTGATGTCTGATATCACACAGCCGAGGGGGTTGAGGAGTTGTTGAGTCATCGAGGGGTTGAACCGTCGAAGGGGGCCACTTCCTACTTCGACTTTATACCTGGTTCTTAGAGCTCGGGCAGACGGACCACCTGCACATACAAGAATTATGGGAGTATGTGGCTTGTTTCCCCCTTGGTACCTCCGACGGTCAAGTCGGCTAGCAGACTTGAGTGAGGTGAAGGAAGAACGATGTATTCTCCCGAAAAATA